AAAAACAGAAAAAAATGAATGTCTACCCTATAACAGGCTGCTGTAATAAGATGTGACATACTCTATAGGACAGTTCTTTCAGCATGTGTTATTTACCCAAACTGAACATAATCCTCAGATATAGGTTCTGAGCCGTCACACAGAACAAAAAACAACTGCAGCCATAAGACCGTCCAAAACAATCACATTATGGGAACATTCTGTATAATATTCAAATATTAAGGTTTGAGAACCATGGTTTGAGAATGTACTACTTAACCAAACTACTTTGAGGGGTTGATATTCGTCAGAAGCATACACGATTTTCTAGGGAGGAGTTATTAACATACACATCGTTGTTGGGGAACTAAAAGTCAAGGGGAACTGTTAATCCACATATCTATGTTTTCAGTAGGCATGTTTACCCTCCGAAAGGGTCCACAGAATTACAATAATCGACATGTTTATTTGTATCAGGTGTAATATCGGTGTAGAGCGTCACAGATGAGTAACCCTCTTACCTATAATTTAGAGCAGACGACAGAAGACGCGTGTGTATGATAAACGATCCTTAACAAATAACGTGTTTTAACTGCCATTATTATAGGGCTACGGGTGGAGGTTCACAGGTGAGTTGTAACGACATATAGTAAGGGTAGACGATCGTGTGTTCAGTATATGTGTGTATACACAGGACAATCTTCACCTATGAATGTTTATAATCGAGGGCACTCAAGCTGAAAATGTCAGAAAAGGGGATAAAATACACTATATCCTATTATAGAGTTGTCACTGGATAAAAGAAGCAATATTTAGAGAATATTGACAAACAAACAAAAATCCGGCTTCGTTTAGTGGTAATTTAAAACTCAAATTTTTGAGAGACAAGAAATTTATGAAATAGGTTTAACGAGGACTCGTCACTTTTTGAGTAACGACACATGGGCTAAACAAATGAGTACACAGAAAGCTCAAAACAAAGCATCGGCCATAATCAAAGTTTTAAGAGAGATGTTTTAATCGGAGCCTCTCGTCCTCAGAACAGACTTGGGGAACAAAACGTCGATGAAGTATTGAAAATAAAACTGTCAAAGGCAAAACGTTAAAATGGTATCTTAGCTACATTGGCCAATGCAATTTAATTCTTGGGTCAACAAATTGGAAATTCAATCGCAATAAAAAAAAATGTCTTCCTTACGCGGTATTAATTCACAAAAAAATAACATGCGCCTGGTTTTCAAATCTTCAGACAGTGCACTGGTCCACAATGACAGTAAACCTGATGGGTTTTCCATGAAGCTTTACGAATCTCTTACCTCCTCTACGAGACCCGATTTGTTTCGTGTGTTGCAATGTATGCGACGACACCTTCATGTGTGATAAGGAGTTATCCTTGTTAATAAGAGTTTTTCCTAAGAAATCTCTCAAACTTATTTATAATAATCACAGAAAAGTAACCTTGACCGTACGCTTGAAAAGATATCTTTTCGCTGAAAAACAATATGATATGGTCATCTTACGAGTCGAATCAGGAAATATGGAGATATTACAAGAACAAACTGGACGGGAAATCCGACTAAGGTCGTTACGAGCGTAGACAAAACCGAGGACGCTTCATTTCGAGAACGAATTTGAAAAGTAATACAAAGCTATTGCCCTTATCATATAAACAGTACTCTTGAATGTCTGACGTCAAGAATGAGTGACGTCGTAAATCTTTGAAAAATATTCATGACATTCCTGAATATATATTTTCCGTTACGTCACACCTCATTAATACGTATCAACATTACAGCCACGCCTCCAATTCGGGTAGGGAACGCTGTGACGTCACACATTCTTAGGCAACAATACAATATACACCCTATAGATTTAAAATCGATCATATTTAAGTCAGTGGCCAAAAAACTGTACATGTACCAGTATTTGATCGTCGTACCGACAGGCGGACACATTTAACCGATGCTGCTTTAAGCAGCTACAAAGTGTCGTGTTAGACGGTGGTTTTGACATGACTCTAATACAGTTAGAAGAACCAGTTGCAACATTTCTTGAGGACACCTCCGGTAATTCCCACAGAGGTGCGCGTCCTAGGTAAAAGTAACATAACTCTTGTCAGTTTCCGGTACTTGTCGTACACCTAATCCAACCCGGACGATACACTGGGTATCAAAGTGCTTTAAGGTAGCACCACACTGTCGTAGGAATCACTTATGGACATATTTGTCATTCCAGTACTTTACGCTTGTTTAGATACGGTCAGTACGATAACATGTAACTGTGAGTCATGTTGATACATAAGATTGCTAAACCCTTGTTGTGTAATTGGGCGCGAATTATTTGGGGAGGATGGACTTTGTGACGTCACCATTCCATTACCATACAAAAAAGACCGATCTGCCTTCGGGTTTTTCACTGACGTCACATTCTATTAATGTGCCTACCTTAATCAGCCACGTCCTCCTTTAAGTCGAGTAGCTACGCTGTAACGTCATGTATTGTTGTGCAAATGTCTTCCCAACAGACACTATAAAGGCTGCTCACATTTTATTTAACGTAAGGAAACGGCAAGTAACACCTTCGAATTGATATTCGTTCTGTTAGTTAAGGCAAACTAAACAGTGGCCCACTATAACCTGTACATAATGAGTTGATATCGTATAAGTCCATTTCTATAAAAAAAAGTATTAGCTAAGAACAGAAGGTACTGTAAAATTGGAAATTATTGTGGTATGGTTTTTGAGTTAAAATACATCTACTCGGAATGAGCTGAAAACAAAGACACAGATATGGTACTGTTTGTTACGACGTATAATCCAATAAATGAAAGTTGGAACATTAATTGTTTTGTTATGGGATCAAGACGACTATAAACTATAAAGAAAACCGAAGCCTTTCCGTATGCTAGGTATTATTTTATACATGCAGGAATACCACAAATGGTGTCACTACTGTCAAACATGTTTTCAACAATGTTGTGGTATATTCAGTATGATTATTGAATGTGAAGACTACTTTTTTGCAAATGGTTTCAAAATAAAAATCGAATAAGAATTAAACTGTAATATACAAAATGTAAATACATAATCTATTATTGCAGAAATTTATACCGCACAAACCGAATATGAATTAAGATTACGCATTACCATATAAAACAACAATTTGTTTTGTTTTGTTGTATTTTTTTTTTTTTTGGCAATCAAACTCATTCAAGTAAATTCTTAAACATAAGCCATATGCATATCAGGAAAAGAAAAAGCAATCGGCACTAAACTACAAAATCAGAATAATATTGACATGAAAACAAAAGGATCTTAAAAGCGGTGGTAATATCAAGTAAACTGAACAAAAACGTATCCTTTATGCATATAAAGTGTTAAATACGCAATAGGATAGAACAGTGCAGTATTATTTCAACAATCATTGATTACCGATAGAGAACATTAAATTGTATACAGTTCACAATCTTAATTTGCTCATTGGCTCATTAATATCTCATGGTTTAGTATTTATGATATATTGATTATCTGAAAGAAAATATCCATACTTTCGTTACTGATTGTACTATATGACGATATGCATAGTACGAAATGGTATTGTATGGCACAAGATAAGAATAAATAGAACCGGATATAAACGTCGCCAGATATGACATATGTTAGGGCAGTTGAATAGTTAAAGTTGTTTTATATCTGGAATGTTCAAAGTAAAGTGATGGCACAGATAAGCTCTGGTCTAATAGTATAGTACTTAAATGTGTTGTTGTAAGGTTTTCTCATTTGTCATCAGAAACAACCAACCATATATAATATCATTTTGATTTGCTACCAGAATGACGGATAAGACAGTTTGCAAGGAAGGTCGCATAGCCGTCAATTTGCAACGCATTGAGATTTTTGATTTTCGAAATTCAAAGAATATTTTCGATCGTATGTTTTCGTACAGCTTTTAATTTGATATCTGTCCTACTTTAAGGTCGAGGAATTTGTAGATTATTTGGTAATCGATAAAACAAAGTATGATTTCAGCTTTACAAATACAAGACAGTCTATATTAATCAAAATTGGATCATTTTGACTAAGAATGTAATACTTACCTCTCTTGACACTGTTTTGTTGTCAGCTATGGAAATTGATATACAACTGGCGGGTCACGGGTCTTATTGTGTCAAGGTAGTAAACACAAACCCATATCATGTTATACTCGAGATCGTGCGAGACGTCAGAGCTGTACAGAACCTAAAATAAGGCTTTAGACTACCTTTGCAACATTCGGAATATTACCTGACTGGGCTACCTATATCAACAATGTTGTGTGTATTAAAATCTCTAATACAGATAGTCATACCCGAATATTTACAGAATATTCATGATTTTATTAACGAAAACCCGTTATTTTTCATAATTAAACATAATTTATTAATCACGAAATCAAGAAAATTATGCTAATAACATATCATATAAACATATGATCTCTCATAAACAGACAATCCATCTCCGTCCTAGAGGCAGGGACATGTATACAATAATCCTCGCTCTCTGAAAGGTCAGTTAAGAGTAAAAGTAATATAACTTTGTTATTTGTTACTAGACTAATTAAAATAATTACCCGAAAATTAGTAACAAATATTTGTTCCCATGTCCAAATTAAAGGAAAAAACAGCCTTCCTTTTTTCATATTATAGCCCAACATGCATCCGCCTACTCAAGGCAGAATCGGGGATTTTTTTTGTGTTTTCTGCTTGGGGAACTTTAAAATAAAACAATAAAAAAACAAAACAGCAGTTGTTTGTTGTTGCTAGGACAGTAAACAATATCAATTTTTTATATCTTATTTAATAAATACTAAATAATATGACATCAAATATGAATTTATGAACTTTACGTAATTATCATGATACTGAATACTGAATAATGTCAGTGTTACTGATATCACTTATTGTACGGTTTATCTCCCTTTAAGTGGATTAAAAAGTGGGATACTAATAATGTTATCCAATCAGCTATGTGACCATAGGAGATGAGTCATAATATGGGACAACGGCGTAAACTGTTACTAATAATAGCAATGTGGAGCATGCCAAGGATTCGTAGAAAAACAACCAGGAACATAATTAGGTACACGTAACGAAACATAGACATTACAGGACAGAGCAGACCTCAAAAAGACGGGTGTTTGTCTTTAGTCAAGGTACGTATCTGTTCTAATCAATTGAAATGACATATCAGATCACTTGTTTTTTTTTTAATTTTGAAGTGTGTACGTAAAGAAAAACTTATGAGATATATAATGCTACTGCTGAAAAGTAAGTCCCGCCTGCAGACCTCATTTTTAAACAGTATATGTAGGCGTCGTCAACTCCCTTAATACTGGTATGAAAGAACTAGCATTTTCTCTAATATGTAGCTCCTTATCTATACCTCATTCTGATGAATCTTCCAAATGGGACAAAGATACAAAAAACGCGTAAAATGCTACATGTTAAGTTGTATATGTGTACATACCGTATGTTGGGGTCATATTCAAATGAATCGGGGTTCAATTCTGGAAATGAGTAATGCGAAGGGGAGGTTTCTACTTTAATTCCTGGTAAATATTAGAAAGGTCCTTTTTACATCATTATAAACACTGGGACATACATTTGATATAGAATCTTTGCTGCTTTTATTAATAGCAATGAGGGTAATATGTTGATTCCCGGGAAAAAAAGAATAATTTTACGTTCAAGTATATACATGTAGGAAGTAAAATGTCAATAGAGCTCTATAGTGTTTGAAACAGGTCTGCAGGTGTGTATTACTACTATAACAGCATTTCATCTAAATAACTGGTGTCGATAAGGTTGTTTATTGTATATTAAGTTTACGGTTTAACCTTGTGAAGGCTTTTGTCATTACTTCACACTTGCGTAAGTCAAAAATGTTTGCATATGGTGTAACTATTACGGGTTATGACTGGTGTCGACAAGAAAGCGTTAAGCGTATATAAAGTATACGGTAACATTGTGTGAAGGCTGATATTATTACGTAAGAGCAACATTACATTACAAAAAGTCTTTTTTCCACTTGTTAAAAATCCTTCATACATGTAAGTATGATAAGACAAATAAAAATAGACACAGACATGGATTTTGCCATTTCCCCAATTCACAATAACGAAAAAAATGTCACCTCAGTGGAAAACCTATGGAGCTAGTTCCAAAGGTTTGCATCTTTAACAAAATGGGGACGCAACATGGGTAAGAATAACAAATGTCCTTGACAAATACAAAGTTGTATTAGACAAGTGGGTCCCCCCCCTCCCACCCCCCACCCCATCAAATCCACTCTCTAAAAGATAGGGAAGTTATGAACTCCCGAAAACAATTACTTTTTTATAACTTTTAATAATAGAGAAAATGTGAATTTCCAGGATACAAGGAATATATGAACTTCCTAAAATACAGGAAAAAAAGCATCTCCCAAAAAATGGAAATATAAATCATTATCGTAATTCGATTTGTCTTGGGCTGTTGTTCCAGACTTGATATTAGCTTCCGGGTAATTTACAAGAAGCATTAATGCCTTGTCCTTGTAGACGCTCGCAATACGGGCGTTTAAACTTGACAAGCAGTCGTGAAATTTTCCGTCTATACACAGAAAGGTCACTACACCTTGTTACTGTGTTTTAAATATAAAGTCAATGTCTGGGTCCATAACGGGCTACTTCAGACTCCGCTTTATACATAGTTTTAGAATTAATCTCCAAATACACATTTCATAATAACAATTTGACCCTTAAAATAGGGACAAGTCTATTCAAAGGAACCGCTTATTTTTTGTTACTAGATAGATATAAAGACTAAAGATAAAAATGCGTGTATCTTAGCTTTACCAAAGTAAATGTTATGTAATGTTGGAAAGGTTCAGTTTCAATACTAAAGAGTATGGATACGTAAAAGACTCTGCTATCAGAAATAACAAAACTTATAAAGATCAATGCATCTATTTGGGGGGATAATGGTTATATCTATACATTTGATCAACCTACGATATCTACGTTATCTTTTCTGATGTTCTTTTTAAACATTTTAGATATTTTAACATATTATTGCTCCTCTAGGTATATAACAGTTCTTTTTGTTCATGCTTTAGACAAAATGTTTCTCCGTTATCCGTCTCCGTTCGCATTGTAGTTTGTATTCAGTGTAAATATCACTTTTATAGAATACAATATAATATATATTTAATAAACTAATAGTTATTTTCCTTGTTTCTCCTGTTAAACAATAACATATATTTTACTAAGCACAGTTTGAACATGTATATATTTACGTAAGTGTACATATCTAATTGTGCAAAAACACCAAATGAATGGGACATACATAATGTTAGACTTAATTCAAATAACTCATATACTTAATACATTAACATGTGAACAAATATTATAGGAACTCACAAACATGATCTTCGAGTTAATCCTATATTGTTATCTAGCGCATAAACTTTGATTATTATCTGGGATTATGTTTGCAAAAGTCAGGCAGTTCAATTTTGAAATCGAATCTATAGTCACTTTTGATTTTACTCTAAATTAATTTATATTCATAATTTCATAGTGTCTGGAAAAGTAATGGTGTTTGGAATACTCTCGATGTTTCCCGATAATTCTTTGACACATAATAGAACTGCAAGATTAAGGACTTGGAGTGGCGTGATATTTTGTACGATAAGATTTTCGTCCTGACGAAGCAACCACACAAAAACAGTGACGTTAGAAGCGATCGTAGTAGTGTGGCTGTTGCGAAATCGCCTGAGTAAACACACGTGTGTGTAACGCTGTACATAACGATAGGCTTTGTGTATAAAAGCGGGTTGGATTTAGACATAGACGGCTATTGTTCGATTAAAATATTGTGTCGATATACATAGTGTGTACTGTAGGCTCAGCATGAAGTGGCGTGCCATATATCTGTCACGTTGTATCTATACTTATTTACTTCAACATTTCCGAAGTTCGTTTGACATTCAATTTTGATAAAACTGTACATCCTGTAAGGAAATTATCTATTTTCATTTGTGGCTCAGTTATTGAGTGACCATTTCAATACAATGAAAATGTAATACTTTGACGTCAATCCCTTGGACACATTGTTAAATTGTTTCCGTTTTTAAACAACTTCTTCTAAATAACCAAAAGGCCTAGGGTGATGATATCTGGCAAGTAGCATGCAAGGATGATGGGCTACAGAGGTTTGTTTAAATAAATGACATTAAATTATATACAGGGTCACAGGGGCCAAATAAGTTTAAAACCTTTAAGCTGCATCCCTGAACAACAATGAGGCCCATAGTGATGGTATTTGGCCAGTAATATGAAGGGCTACTAAGTTTGTTAAAATAAACGACCTTGACTTATATTCAAGGTCACAGGGGTCAAATATGTTTAAAAAGTGTTCACGACTTCTTCTGAATATTATTATCTGTTAAGATGTCCATACAGGTATTACAATAATTCAGTAGATATGTACATACTATAATTAATGTTATTAATTCTACCGTCGCTTCATCTGAACTTGAATGTGAAAACCTACGTAGTGAATAGAAAGTAACGTTCTGATTGGACATTACGTCAAGTGATATCTTCACATGGGAAATTAAAACATTTCGTATATCTTAACTGCAGTGAAGACACATTTTTTCCATTTGATACTTCCTGGTTTTTCGTTGGTAAAATGTTATTAATGTTGATAATGTAAGAGCTAAATGATTTTTTTTGTAGATCGTTTGAGGCCTCAATTTCCCTGAATGCTTTCAGGCATGGGGAAGCGCCGGAAAAGGAGAAAGTGTTTACTGGTCACCCGCTTACGGGTTTAAAAAACCCCACCTACATCCATTACTTGTGGACGAAGCGTAAATATAAGGTTTGTTAAACTATAATAATTATTTATTTTCTTATTGTTGGATTTTACAGTGTGTATAGGCATCACACGTCATGTCATAATGTTGGCAGTCACAAAATATGTTGATCAGGAGTAGTTTAACAGAGAAAATACGTTAATACCGAGTTAGAATTAAATGAAAACTGACGTTGTGTCTGTTTTCGCTGTTAGTCTTTTGAAAATATGGTAAAACAACTAGACAATCATTCGATCTAGAGTTCCTATATTAAACAGACCCTAGGGAGTCGTACAGGTATGGTAACTTGTATGTGAAGCTACATTTGTAGGGAAGGAATGGTATAGTAAACAAGAAAGTTGGAAACGTAAAATAAAACCACATGTTAAAAGAGCTTTCCCATTATCTAAATTTAATGAATCATGATTAGTATTTTTATCTGATAGCCAGAATCTGATAGCCTTGAAATGTGTTATATTTTCATGATTTGCAAAAACGTATCATCTTTTTTGTTATATGTTAAAAACTTGTATGTAGTGGGGGCTGTTAATTACATCTAGATCATTACTCAGGTAATTACAATGCTGGCAGTAACGTTGTTTCTGGTTCGAACAATTGTTGATCCTTATAACACTGACTTTAAAATTGATAACGGTAATATTTTGGAAAGTATTTTTACCAGTGGTAGACAAAACTAATTCAGCAAACATTGGTCTTTTCGGAAGATAATTAGTATGTAGATATAGTTGTGGGATTTCACAACGTTACGTGATGTGCTGTCTGCGCATGGTGTGGGCACGGTGTTGTACCATGCACAACTATTCAACAATAGCATGCGCATAACTGTGCGACACATGTCGTGGTTGGTATATATTAAGGAATGGTCTGTGAATAAATTGATTTCGTATTCAAACTTACATCTTTCCTGATTTGAGTATGTTCCCATACATCAGCCAGATTTACATGGCTATCTATTTACCTAGCAACAATTTTGATGGACACATCACGTACCAAAATTGTTTTGAAACGACCTGAATCGACGCGTGGCTATAGATATGGTCATACACACGAACTTTACACGAAGATAGAATATAAACAAAGCAGTCTTACCTGTTACCATTTACCTGCCAATTACCAGGTAACGGTTACATTTTTTGTATCGCTATTCAATTGTGAAGTAGGTGTAAAAGTAGGTGTCCATAAGAAGCGTAACAGACACAATTAGCGCAGGTAAGGTCGAATTGTGTTTTAATACCATTCAAATCATTGATGAACTCCAATCGACGATCAACTCCATACAATTGATTACGTACGTGTACTACATGTAGTACGGTACCCGAAAGAAAGTACAAACCCATTGTTGACAGTTTTACAGTCTTTGTCATAACGTGTAGCATGCATTTAAAATTACAAAGAGTGAAAAATATACCAATTGGATATTAAATAATACGTATACTATATACCTTATTTTACTCGAGCCTTCCAGTTTCTACCCCCGTTAACTTACCATATCGAACACATCTGCGCATTTTATCGCACAATGGTACGATACATTATTATATTTGACAGTTATGCGCACTAAAAGCGCACGATGTATTCACGATGTGCGCACGGTCATTTTGGTGCGTTGTGTTATTTTGTTTCAATTTCAACAAATTTTATTTATAATCATGATCAATTGGATTGAACATCAGTGTTAAAGCCTATATTAAGTTCTTTCCATATTACAATGCATTTTATTCAAATAATATCCGGTAGAAATATAAATTAAGTAATATACATTTACAGTAAGATTAAGTTTATCATATATTTTGACATTTGACTTATTATACTTTTTTTGTAATTTGATTTAAAATTTTGCAATGATATAACAGTTTGATACATGCTGATATATACAAATTCAGCTGAGGGATGAGTGCCGAATCAACCCCAGACTGTAAAGTCCATAGGTTCTTCAACCTATAGTCTTCCACTCAGGAATTGATTGCACACATAGCTCCCATGTAAAAAGTGTATGTTATTTTTTCAATGTTTACGCTAAACGAAATCCAAACAATATAAGGGAAATGAGGTTTTATAAGTATATCAATTAACTATGCTTCTCACAAGTCATCAGTGTTCATCAAGGTGCACTGTTCCGCATTATACATTATCATATTCAATACCAGTGCATGTTAACATACCAATTGACATCTACAATTATTGAAATACAACTTCATTATTATTGGTCATTACATGTGTATGCACATGTACATGTACCTTATCGGCATATACGCATGAGTAGTCCCATATGAGGTTAATTAGTTGAAAAATATTACTCTGACAGCAAGGTATATACCATATAGTACAAATCCTCTCACTTGTGGTGCGTATGTATATAACACTTGTAATATATTGTTGGTAACCTGTTGTCATACTTGACTTTCTATAAGTATTGATGACGACCTTGACCTTGACCTTATGAAAAGGTCAAATTCTATGTAGGGATTAACTCTCTAGATTGGTGACAATATATACATGTAGTGTAGGCCAATAAATAGTGGCAGTGACCTTGACCTTGACCACAGATATTTGAAGCTTGAGCACTTTCGAGGTATTTTTATACATACAGATTAAATGTGGTAATGTCGAAGTCCTTGCAGGGATGAAGTTACTAGAGTTGTGATACAACTGTGGTCTAGTGTGGATATATACATATGAATGAAACACTGCATCACCAGTGGATCATGCTATTCATTTATACCTATGTACATGCTCCTATATGTATGTATATGTTTGCATACATATACCACAGTGATACGAACAAATATAATTATACAATTATTATTTTCAATATAATTGTAATTATTGATAATGTGTGTATACAAGGCATTTCACTATTATTAATTAAGTAATCATGTCAGACGTTTTGTGTTTTTAATGAATTTTGTTACATTATCAAGGATATTTTTATTTATATCATCTGCAAACTCATTTGACCCATTTGATAATATATTGATATTAAAGTGATATTGATAATGAAGTGATTCTCTGAGTATTTCTCTCTGCGCGTTGTAAGCTGGGCATATAGAGAAATGATATGATGTTCCAAATCCATATCCACATCTACAAGTTGGGGAATCTTTTAAATGATCCTTATATAGGTCATTTCTTAATTGGCACAGTATTATTAGATCACCTGGTCCAAAGTACCGTGTCGTCCGTCCGTCGTCCGTACGTCAACAATTTCTTCAAACCATTTCTTCTTCTAAACCACTGATTGGAAAATGACTAAATTTGACTGGAAGCATCCCTAAGTAGTGTAAATTCAACAGTGTACAAATGGTTGGGCTGACCCCCATGGGGCTGAGGGGCGAGGCGAAAAGAGGGCAATTTGGCTATATTGCTTTTAGCGACTTCTTCTCTGGAACTAAGAGATGGATAGCAACCATATTTGACTGGAAGCATCCCTAGGTAGCGGGGAATCAAGATTGTACAAATGGTGTGGCTGACCCCCTAGGGGGTTGAGGGGTGGGGTCAAAAGGTGACAATTTGACTTTATTGCTATACACGACTTCTTCTGTAGAACTATGCACTGGATATAAATCATATTTGGTCGAAAGCATTCATGGGAAGTGGGGATTCAAAATTGTACAAAGAGTGGAGGGGTGACCCCGTCTAAGGAGTTGGGGCCAAAAATAGTTTATTACTTGGAAATGGTTGAGATCCCCACCCTATAACCATACATATAGTTGCTGAGTATAAAGAGAAGAATGCACATATGCTTCTAGGATGGCCCCGGTGTCTGGCTCCACCTTGGTTGATTTAATCCCAGGGTCATAACTTTGAAACTGTTGTAATCCCCACCCCAGAACTATATATAAAATTGTTTGGCATAAAGAGACAAATGCTGTCATGATATTGTAATTGACCCAGGGATCTGCTCCACCCTTGCAAACTTAACCCCTGGGTCATAACTTTGAAACGGTTGAGATCCCCCACCCGAAAACTATGTATACAAATGCTCGGCATAAAGAGACAAATGCTGTCATGATATTAGAATTAACCCCGGGGTCTGGCCACAACATTAGGGACCTAATTTTGTAGTCACAGCTTGGAAACAGTTGAGATCCCCACCCCATGACCTTACATAAAATTGCTGGGCATGAACATGATACAAGGTTTGGTCTTAGGGTCTGGCCCATTCCCTTGGATCTTATAAGGAGAATATTTTGCCATGATTGCTAAGATATCCAGGTGAGCGATACAGGCCCTCTGGGCCTCTTGCATTATCATGTCTATAACCATAGTTTTTAAAGAATGCAGAATTAGTATCATTGTTATTTATATCCATAGATATCAGCCTTTTAGATATTTTAAGGATGTACTCTTCTGAGGTTTCAATCACGTTCAAGTCTCGTTTTGATCTGGTGTAACGGGTTTTTGTAATATTTAACAAATTATGATCAAGTCCACTAGCAAACACGCATCTAAAAAATATGTCAAAAAACTAGATGTATGTTGTTTGAAGAACTTTTTTTACAAGAATTTAAAAAAAAAATACCAATTCGGCGGCCATTTTGAAAATGTGTATTAATGTGTATTTCTTGGGCTTCAAAAATGGCCAAAAAATCACCTTTTTGACACTAGATTGATCACTTAAGTTGTCATTGTGTCGCCATTTTTAATTATAGCAGGTTCAATTTGGCTGTACAACTTTATAATGTTTAATATGATAAAAATAATATGCAACAAACTCGAAAATTATACATTATTGATATTTTTTTTACATGTTTAGTGTAACTAAAGCACTTTTGATTTTTGACCCCGAAAAAAGGTAAAAAATAACTCAAATGATAATGGGACAAAAAGAAGCACACCGACCCCCCATTTTTGTGGATGTTTTAGAAAGAGAAACACATTTTCTTTTAATTCATTAAATATTAAAAAAAGTTTAATAGCAGAACTTTTTTTATCAAGCGTTTAATCTGCAAAAAATGGTAAAAAATGAGTATATTTTCATTAAAAAATAGGGGGTAGGGGTAAC